ATAGCAGTCCGGCTCGCGCTCCGCCGATCCTAGGGCAAGACTCGAGATCCGCCGTCAGAGCCTCCCCGATGCAGATATGGCAGCGCCGCCACGCCCGACAAAAGCCTGCAACGCTCACGGCGTATGTCCCATGCGTCGTCGCAGCTGAACCTCGGTGATGGGCGCTTATCCCCGCACCAGCCTCGGCTTCAGAGTCCGGGGCTAGCGAGCAATGCGCATGGCCGCGGATGCGGGGGCTCCTTCGAGGTCGAGGCGTTGTGTGCCTGGAGTGAGAAGGCGAAGGACTGTCGCGGCTCCTACTCATCCACCACATCTATTGTGGTGTTGGTGCCCCTCGGATCCGACGAGGACCTGGTCTTCTGCACCGTCAAGCAGTAGTCCGTAACCGCCAAAGAGTCGGGCGCGCGCTACCATATGATCAACGCCAAAACGCTCGCGGAAGCGGAGGAAGCCTGTGCTTGGATCCACGTGGAGCGGCAAGCTAGGGCTGCTCGGGTTCTGGCAAAGAAGCAAACCCGGGTCATTTGTGCCCTAGTTAACCTACCCCTAAAATCAAGCGAGAACATGTCCAGTATTGCATCCAACACATCCAACTATGGCAGCAAGTAGATCCACCTCAACTCCTATGTCACCATCAAACACTACTTCCACGACAAAGACGACGACAACACCAAGGGCCAGGCAACCTGTCGGTGAACTTCCCCTATCAATAGTCCTACCTTAGTTTATGCTATTGTTTCGATGAACTAGTAGAACATGTCGTCATTTTGATAGTTCGATGGTATGTATGATAAACTCACCTATGTTATGTTCTAGTTTGCTAGGTCATAGCATTGCAATGTTTATACTATTCATGAACTAGGAGCTATGAAAGCGAAGTACGTGTGTTGATCGACGATGCATGCTTGTGTATGTATTTGAGAGTTAGGAAATGGGGAGCACGGTTGTAAGCGCACACCAATGAGGGATGAGCCCATGCCGTATCCGAGCGTGTCCATGGACATATAGAACGCAAAAATTAGTTGTGTGTGGTTGCAAATGACCTTAACTCAACAAATACTCTTAATTCATGAAAGAGGGCATTTGTTTTCCATTGTCACTTGTCTCGACCTGTCTAGTCCACGGTTCAAGTTATCTCTAATTTGTATCCACCACATAATTTGATCCATATGTTTGGGAGATTTGTTTTAACAAAGCAACACGCCACCTCGCCGATTTCTATTAGAGAAACCGGCACAATATTTACAACATCGTCAACGATGAAACAAAGAAACAAAAAGAATCCAACTACAACTAAAAGATCAACCAGGAAGTAACAATATATATGAGTTTAGCCAGAACAACTTAACTAGGTGCTCTAGGAAAGCATAGCTAAGGGAACAGCCAAAAATAATCAAAAGTAAAGAAATGGTCGTTTAAATCACATTTTTATTACATACGCATCAAGCACAACCCAAAGTAAAATTCCAGGAAGCAACATATTCTTCTCTTCTTCACAACTCCAGTCTTCTAGCACCAGGTTCCATCCATGCCTTTGAGCATAAGCCTCTCTAAGCACCATCTTTGATCATCTCACACACATCTTCAATTCTTCTTCGCCTTGGTTCTTTTTGCAAAATGCTCCAGCTTGTAAGAAAGTGACAAAAGTTAGAAACCACAATGGCCACTGTAAAAGAAAACACTAGTTGGATCACTGGGAAACTTCTTCTCAAAGCAAACTTTGTTTCTAGCCTTCCACAATATCTACCATAGACTAACTTCTCCCTTCACCACCAGAGCTCTCTGTCTTTGGCGAAGGATTGATCCTAAGCTCATACTAAGTCATCTACATTATCATGAGCCATATCTATTAAACCACAGGCAACCACTTGCCAAATTAATTTGGCCAAATTGCATTCAAAGGAAGTGGCTAATTTCTCTTCTTTTTTTCTCACAGAAGTGACACTGGCCAATGCGAGTCCATCCTCTTTTGAGCAGCTTATCTTTAGTCAGGATACCATCCTTCAACATTAGTCAAAGGAAATGTTTAATCTTCTATGGCAACTTCAACATTCAGATAAATCTGTATCCCACCAAAGCACGTGCTTTCAAATGCCAATACAATTGCTTCACCACAAATTTACTATTGCCATTTAAAGTGCATATCACTCTGTCTTTGTCTTCAGTCGAAATCTCCTCACCGACCAAGCTACGAAGATCAGCCCATTATTGTTCAATGTCTCCATACATGGTTCTTTTGAATTCAAAATCACTCCATCCTCTACTCTTAACTGATTGAAGGGTACTTAAGTTGCTAAAGGAAATGGCATACAATCTAGAAAATCTCTTTGCGAGAGCCAGATCATCAAGCCAAATGTCTTCCCAGACGGGAGTTTTCGCTCCGTTTCCTAACACCCTCCCGACAAGGGGGTATGTTTGGAAGATAGTTGCATGGTTTTTATATAATGAAAATAAGGGTTGTTATCCATGTCGGTACTTACAACACTTTGTTGGACGTTATTGTTTTGCAAGAACCATATGTATTTTAACCAAAGAAATGTGCCCTTACTCGCAAGGTGGCCCTTATGTACTCGTGTACACGTTGACTTTATATTTAATGAGTAATGCTACATCTACAAAAGGTTGGTCAATTTTTTTACAGGCAAGCTAATGTGGGGGATTATGATTGATAATAAGGGAATGAAGAGGCCCATCCCAAATTTGTAGATTCTTGGTAGATCCGTGCTTGTGTTTCGTTTGCGTTTCTCTCGTTGAAGAAAGGGACATCGATAGCGTGAATGCTGTACGTCCGTGCCTGAATCAAGTTGGAGTTGTTCACGCACGCACCAGGACGCAGAATGTGTTTTAGACCAAGGAATTTCTTTTTGTTGGTCGTATACAGAGGCAGGAACATGAACCCTTTGGAGGGTCATTTTGACATCCCGACTAGAAGCTGTAAACAAAAGAGACGTGGCCACGTTTTGCCTTTCCTTGTCGTGCACGCTGGCCTGGCTTAACATGTTAAGGCTCGTGCATTCAATTGCTCATCTAAACCTAGTTTCTTAAAATGTAATTCCTCTGTAAACTAATATAAGAGTGTTTAGATCACTATTTTAGTATTCTAAACGTTTTTTATATTGGTTTGCAGAGGGAGTACTCCACTAGTAGAAGGGAAGTACGCGTACTGCCACTACGAGTACTTGGCAAGTTGGCAACCTTCTCGGCGGGAGCTCGACCTGCCAGGGTTGCTGATTTGACGGCTCCCTTCTCGGCGGACGGCCCCGTTGTCGTCGGCCAACCCATCATCTAGCGGTGCCAACGGCGTAATGTGCCCATCGTCAAGCCGAGCGCCATGCAGTGTCATGATCGCTCAGGATGCGTCGAGACAGGGGCAGGTCCCGGGTAACCATCCAAATTAATTCCACCTAGAGACTCAAAAGGAGTATCTCTATCAATTTTGCAAGAGGCGCGTGCGCTGGAAGACCGTACCAGCAGTACGTACTGTGGTAATCGTGGACCAGCGCTTCATGCTTAGCGTTACGGATTGACCACCCGGCAGGAGTTTAAGAGCAGAGAAGAGCAGCAGTAGCTGCGGAGACATGCATGTGCCAACCAAGCGTACTTGTCCGTCTGTCTGATTAATCGAGTTCATTAATCCAGGATCGAGAAAGGTGGCACAGTGCAGTGCGACGAGGCGGAGCAGGACGCCAAGGACTGATGGGACGGCCATTGCATCTAGATTAGGCGGAATCTAGGTGGCCTAGCTACTCATGTTCCGCAATTATAAAGCGCCATCGCCAAACGAAGAACCTAACAAAAAAGAGAGAGAGAGACGAGCAAACATAGAACGAGAACGAGATGATAATCGATCCAGTCGGTCCACCATGGGCCGATCTTCCAGCCGGTGACAAGCAGTACCGGCACTCCGAGTGTCCGACCCGTCGTCCATCCGTGAGCTGATCGGTCTTGTGGCCAGTGACAAGCGCCATCAGGACCAACACGGCCATGCGTGTGGAAAGTACCTACGCTACGTGTAGTACGTGCACGCATGAGGTGGTGATGAGATGCGTAACTCGGAGACGTGACGGAACGAAACGGCGAGAGACTGATGTGAAGGCAGTGGTTGGCTCTTGAACGCTGATAAGCCATCATGCGGGTGGTTGGGTGCGAGCATGGCCATCTCATCTCATGGTTAAGTCGGTGGATTAGACCGATGGGCGAAATTACCACCAGTACACTCATTTTTTTAGGGTACACTCCTTTTTTTGAGAGAGAGAGAGGAGAAGAAGCAGCAGTACGTACACACTCATACGGCCATACCCGGCCAGCCCACGGGTCCCGGTAAGGGGTGCACGGGCCGCCGCTGCCAGGCCCCGGCTCGGCCCGGCCTCTACCGGCAGCGGGCCCACCATGCTGGGCGCACAGACTGCGAGCCGGATTGTTGCCGCCGCCGCCGCTTGGCCCGGCCGGGCGCGACCCGAGCGAGCGAGCGAGCCACACCCGAACCTCCCAACCAAAGCCGCCTCTACCCTAAAAAAAAAAACAAAGCCGCCTCTCCCTCCACGCGGTGACGCCGGCGGCACCACACCCACAGACACGGCGAGACCACACGGCCCCAGCTCTGGATTTCTCTCTCTATATTATCTCTCCTCTCACTCTCCCCCCCTCTCTCCCTCTCTCCTTTATGGCTCCGGCGCTGCAGAGCCCGCACGCACAGTCCATGACTACTCCGTGCGTGCGTGCGGATTGACTCGCGCGCGCACACAAACGCCACTCCACCCCACCCCCTTCCGTCCGCGTCAGTCCCCCTCGTGCACCGCAGCAGCAGCCAGCGGCATTCAGCGCCGCTCTCGCTCTGCTTTTCTCGCTTTGCTTTCTTCTCCCTCCTGCTGCTCCCCCCTCGCCGGTCACCACCTCCGGCCTGTCCTCGAGCTAGCCTGCCAGGCGCGACACAGACGCCGGACGCTCGGTGGGTGATACGAGATCTGGTGGGCTAGCTGAGCGGAGACGCTCGGCCACCTATGGGCTGGGCGAGCCGGCGCGGCCTCGCCGCGGCGCTCCTCCTCCACCTCCTCTTCCTCGCCGCTGCCCTCGGTAAGACAGCCAGCGACATGCACTTTCTCCGTGTTTCTTCGGCATTATATACAAGGCGAGCTCTAGCTCACACGTACGTGCGCCGCGCATGTGTATGTCTCCTGCAGGTGGGTGCGCCGCGACGAGCCGGAGGAGCGGCAGCAGCGGCGGTAGAGCAGCGCTGGAGCAGTACTCGTGGGAGGACCCTGCGGAGGCGGCGCGGCGGAGGGAGCTGGTGGGCCCGGGCTCGTCGCCGCCGACGTGCCGGAGCCGGTGCGGGCGGTGCCACCCGTGCCGGCCGGTGCACGTGGCCATCCAGCCCGGCGTCAGCTTCCCGCTCGAGTACTACCCGGAGGCCTGGCGCTGCAAGTGCGGCGACAGGCTCTTCATGCCATGACCGCCCGTCCACGGCTCCGTCTGCACATATATGTATGCCCTGATGCTGCTCCCGGCTCGGTCCGCCATTACGGCTGCTTCAGCTCACTCACGGGAGCTAGCTCCTCAAGGCCACGGCTGCCTGCGCGCACAAGGCCAGGAGGTCCAGCACACGCACGGCAACCAGAGGGATCTAGCTAGAGAAGAAGAAGAAGAAGAAGAGGGAGCGGAGCGCAGAGAGATCCATGGAACCATGGAAAGAAACCAAACATGGAGGCTTCCTCCTCGATGTATGTAATAACATTGTTCAGTTCTTGGAGATTTTAACCAGTGTCTTGTCGTCGCGTCCGAAGAGGTGGAGAGATGGATCGAGATTGTTCGTTCACGCTCTCTCTCTCTGGTTCTTCTCCTTGTCGAGTCGCCAAGCCAACTTCCGGTTTTGAGGAGTGATTTTCCGACTAATTTTCGTTAATCTATGATGTATATTTCCTCATGGACAACATCTTCCTCATCATTTTGCTCTGTTCGAGCATGCTTCCTTACGTATAAAAGAGCCAGTATGCCAAACTAGCCACAAAAGACGCTTTGGCCGAGTGGTTAAGGCGTGTGCCTGCTAAGTACATGGGGTTTCCCCGCGAGAGTTCGAATCTCTCAGGCGTCGATTGTTTCCCTCCTTTTTTTTACGCTGGATCTCTCCAAATTTTCACTTCCTGCTACTACACGCGTTTTCCATGTCTGGATGGAGCCTGTAATTGTTCTTGGGATTCCCTGGATCTTGTGGCCAGTTCAATACACCACACCACACCCAAAGAAACAAGAAACAATCTCCCCCATGAAAAAGTTCAGAACAATTTCTTATCCTCACTCCATCCGTTCCAGCACAAGCGCACTCCATGGCAGGGCATGTGCCTCGTAGAGCCGCATATAGTATGAGCGCGTACAGAAAACCATGGCTAGGCCCCCAAAAGATGAGGCGGGAACAGTAGCAGGCATTTCCTCTTCCTAGGAGTGTAGAGCTACAGCTGCAGTGCGCGACGAACAGCCCGAGCTGCATGCCATGGCAGCTGCAGCAGTGCAGCACGAGCCCCTCTCTCTTTTCTTCAGACTCTTTTCTTCACAGGAGCAAGAAACAAAGGAAAAAGCCTGCGCGCGCCTAGTATACAAACGCCACAGCAACAGTGGCCTACGGCACGGTAGGCTTCCCCCCGGCAGTGGAACTAATTTATGCTACTGCTACTCCCAGCTGCCGCTGCTGCTGCTTTGCTCGCGTCAAATCAGCATAAGTTCCCTAGAGAGGAGAGGGGATGAGGAGGCCTGAATGCCCTACTTTGGACGCCATGCATGCCATCCCGTGCCCTTTTTTTACGTGTTTGTTTATGAATTATCGCCGCCCGTCATTTGTTTGCACGCAATACTATACTTAGCCGTAGGCTCAGCTCACACGCAGGCCTATCTACGTGCATGGCTGTAGCTCAATCATCTCTGAATTATGTATGTTGGCGGCAGCGTTCTGCGCCATTCATTCAGGCACGCACGATGAGGCTGCAGGCGTCCCCGGCGAGAGGGGGCAGGCACAGCCTCTGCGCCGAGGGAACAGAAACGGTGGCTTTCCTCCCTATCGCCCCACCTTTTGGTCATTCCGTCCGTGAAAACCTCGTCTCTTTCCTCGGGAGAGGGGGAGAGGCCTGGGAATTTGGCATGAACCTCGTTCCTTTCCTACAGTGTCTCTGAGCTGAGCTGAGCTGAGCTGGGGTGAGCTAGCTGGGGATGAGATGTGTGATTTTCTTGGAGCTGTTTCTCCCGCGTGAAAATTTTCCGGGGGCCGGCGTACTAACTCCTGTCAGTGATGGAGACCGAGCCATGTCCCTGAACATTTTTTAAAGCCCATGGAGCCGGCCAGGGATGGTGGATTGGTGGTGGCACATGAGTCCCGATAAAAGGTGATCCAGCCCCGGGCATCCTCGAATTCATTCTTTTATGGCTCCTACATGCGTTCAACTAATAGTAATTCCATGACTTGATCTGACGGGAGCACTGCTAATAAGCTCAGCTCAGCTGTCGGCTGTCTCTCTCATGCACGAATCTGGCCGCCCAAATTTCACCGGATTCTTATCTGGAATTAGCTTACTGAAAAGGATGCGTTGTTGGGCTGCTTGCATCATATAAGTGGATGCTGGTAGATTTCTTCCATTGTTATAAATGAAATGCTGTTGGGAAGCAGGAACATCTGTCCTCCTCTTGTGAGATCTTTGTGCTCCTCCAGTTTCTCTCTAAAATATATATAGAGGACATGATTGGAGCACGGCTCCTTTCTGTGTGCAGTTTTTCGTCGTCAGAAACGCAAAGAGTGTCGTCCCCGTCGACGTCGTCGCAGGGTGCCACCTGCTCCCCCCTGCGAAAGCTTTAGCTTGGCTTCAGCACTGTGTCTACCAATAGTATCCTCGGGAGCGCGGTCGCTTGCTCTCGCAGCAAAGCTAGTGGTGGTTTCGCTCGCCTCCACGCGGAACAGATGAGCGACGCAGCAGCGTAACTGTATGACTGAATCAGATCAAACACAAAGCAGAGACGAGCAAGCGTTTCGCCTGCACGCAGACGCAAAGATTCGCCAGGGCCGAGGCGTTGTACGTGCGTGCGACGCAAGCAAGCACAGTGAGAATCTCTGAATCTGCAGATCATGGCGGCCCTGTCAGATGTTCATTGTGTCGCTAAGCAGTGGCGGATTAGGCGCAGGTAACCACGCGAGATGATATTTTGCTTGGTGAGGCAGAGTGTTTTCAGTAGCAGTTGATCCAGCCCATGGCTCTGGTGTGCTGATTGCTGAATATCGCCGGCAGCCAAGCCAAGGCTTTGGGTGCACGCCATTTGCTCACGAAAATTTGCTCGCACCTACTTCCTTCGTTCCAAAATAGATGACTCAATTTTGTACTAACTTTAGTATAAAGTTAGTATAAAGTTGGTTCATCTATTTTGAAACGGAGGGAGTAGCAATTACCGCGTCCCGCTTTGTTAGTTTTCCAAGCGAACTACATTCAACATTTATCTTACCCAAAACTTCCACTCATGAACAAACAAAACAAAATCAGAGTGGGAATGGAATCGAAGGCAGCATATTTCAAATTTTTTTTAGAGAAATGAGGGGTACCATTCATGTATAATGTTCACAGGGATACAAATTGCTAGAATGTCCTAGGTGGACACATGCCATACCTAAAAAAAAGCCACACATGCCAACCCACTTATCGATTTTGTTTTTCACAACTGACATTTCACTAGTTAACTCATTCATGGCCCAAGTACCAATTGACAAGGCAGCTATGAAGGCCCACGATAAGGAATGGTTGGTGGTGAGGGAAACCAAGCACTTCATAGCTTGTTCTTTCATTTTTCCGGCCCAGTACTAATACTGCAGATTGTAATAATCTCTAAAAGTAGGAGTACTAGATGCGCGAGCATGTGGGTCTGAGTTGAAAAATAAATTGAAAGATCATGGACAAGAATGTGGAAGCATTCAATACCGGCTAAATTAAAAGTTTTTGCTTTGAGGCTTGCGCGCCAAAGCTTACCCGCTGCAGATGTTGGCACCGACTAGTGTTTGCAGCATTTGTGGCTGGAGCGAGGATTCGTGGAGTGCAGAATGGCTTGATGTGTTTGGGTACTGGTCGATGAAGAACTTCTATGATAAACCGAGGAGCTGCGGTGAGCCAAATGCTAGAAGCTGGTTGTTCGAGATGGATGATTTCCTATCCAGTACAGATAATGTGAAGATGATTACTGCCCTGTGGGCAGTCTGGAAGGCAAGGCGAGATATCATACATGAAGATGTTTATCAGAGCCCTTTTGAAACATGCAATTTTATAACACATTTGTTGCATGAGGTGGGCTTGATCGATTCAGCAGAACAGAGAGGTCAGCAGGAGAGGCAGCCAAAGGGTGCTGTGAAAGGTAATGTTGATGCTGCATTGTCATATGAGAACAACAGGTGCTCGGCTGCAGCTATTTTTCGTGCTGATGATGGTACCTACCTGGGGGCTTCGGCATTCGCTATGGAGACTGTTTACGGTCCAGTTTGTGTTGAGGTAATGGCGTGCCGCGAAGGGCTGTGCTTGATGCAGGACCTAAATCTGTATAAGGCTGTTATAGCCTCTGATTCTACGGGGGTTGTTAGAAGTATCTATGAAGGAAGCAGAGGAGAGGAAGTCATGATCTTAACCGAAGTCACGCGCAAGCTGGAGGTTCTACGAGATGTTTCCTTCAAACATGAAACAAGGGTCTACAATGTAGATGCTCATAATATTGCTAGAATGTCTAGTTTTATTAAAATCTAAAGGAAGTACCATGTAGATTTTTTATGATGAAAAATATCAAACTTCTTTTTGCTTTGTTCTATTTATAGAGCATAGGATTCTGTCATTGAGGAAATCGACATCACAAATAAGAACATGAAAAGTTTCAGCCACCCAACAATCAAATAGACAATCGGTTTATTTAATATTATAGAATTATTCACAGAGACAGTTTATTCCATTTTCACACTAAATCATCAATTCTCGCACCGTAGAAGAATCAACAAGTGCAAAACAAATACTGCAGCAGCGACATACACCCAACAAAGTACATCTCTAACGGGCTAAAAGATCTACCCTGTCCGTGAACAAATACTCCCTCTAGTGTTATACCGTGGTATAAACCATCCTCTGTTCATGTCGCCTGACCCATGGCCAGTGAGGCCAATATCAGCAGAGGAAGTAGAATTTGCCGCAAAACAGATCCTGCAAATGATGTAACAAAGGGGCGATGACAGTAAATTCACCCGTACGTACGACCGATGCAGATGTCGAGACATATCTGAAGGAAGCCTTTTATACCTGGAACAGGTGCATTGCAATTGTTTGAAACACTTGCAGAGCCAGCTGGTGGTGCTGTAGAATTGGAGTTTGTGGATGGTAGGATCCCGATGGCTGCGCAATCCGCTCCGTAAGAACCTGAAATGATGCCAGGAGTTAGATGTGAGATGCGTGGTTTTGCTGTACAGATGGGAAGTTGCTTGTGTCCATATGATCTTACAGTCTTGAAAACAAGGCATTGTAGTCATGTTCAGAACATTGCTGAAGCCCTCCTTGCACTCGCAGTGGTAGCTGAGCCCCGTGGCGTTCTTGCATGTGCCCCCCGAACCACAGTAAGCTAAGTCACAAGCTGTAAAAAGGATTGTACACATAGAGATCAATAAACATGACTACAGATTAAATGAAAACAACATGAGCACAAAATGTACAAATAGGAAAACAAGCAGCGGTAAAGGTGCAGTAGTTACGGTCTGCCGAGACGGAGACATTTTTGGGTGAAGGCGCCGGTGTTGGGGCTGAATTGTCGTTAGAGCATGAGCGATCAATGGTACCTGCAGGGATATGCTCTTGTTGGTTATGTGGGATGATATAAGCAAAACTCTGTAATATTTTGTGTGCAGATAATATTGATTAATTTCTGTGCATTGGATTAGTATACACAAGTGTTCCTTCAGGTGTAGGAAGAAACATACTGAAACACAAGAACCCTGAAGAGGGCACTTTTGATTGAAAAGAAAATCTGAAGATGACACGAAGGCAGAAGCATTTAAAAGTAACTTATCCCTATTCTGACCGATAGACATGCATGTTAAAGATTTAAGACCCATGCCTGTCTGTTTCAACAATAGAGACAGCAAACAGAATTGAGAAACTGCGATTACTACGCGTTTTGGTGGACCAATGAGATTTATGTACATGTGGACTTTCAATGCCTAAAAATCGACTTTATTCAGACTGAAAAGTGGACATCCTTTTGGAGTACAAAATGGACTTCGTGACTCTGCAAGTCCACATCACAATGTATTCGAGATGCATATAAACCATCCAGAGTTCTGGCGCAGTTCAGATTGCTGAAATATTCTACTTTCCTGAGAACTAATTTTACAACAAAACAAGAATATGTATTCAGAAGCTAATCGTGGGTCAGAATTCAGAAAAGTTGCTGACAGATTAGGCATCCCAGGACGTAGGTGTTATGCAGTTACGCACCGTCACCGGTACAACAAACAATTCCGGCATTTCTGGGCTGGCCTGGCTGCCCATTGATGGAGGAAGAGAAAGGACGTATACGCAAGAGGAGCGCGCACTTACAGTTGGGGATGACGCAGGGCAGGAACCTGAGGCTGTCGCCGACGTGCATCTGCTTCCACCCGGGCTCGCAGTCGCACCTGTACCCCGGGAGGCCCGTGGTCACCGTGCAGTTCCCCTTCCCGCAGGCCACCGCCTTGCATAGCGACCCTGCTCGCGTCGGCCACACAACCCCAGGTCAGAAACCACGGCCAAGCTCGTAGTAATTGACATCGCCGGCGGCGTTGGGAGAAGCGCGCGGGGAGACTTACCCATGACGGGGGCGAGGAGGGGGCTGAGAGGGGAGAAGAAGTCGGCGGCGGCAGGCCTGGCGGTGATGGCCAGGAGGAGGAGGAGGAGCACCAGCGCGGCGCCGCCGGCGAGTCGTCTCATCTTGGTTTCTTGGTTTCTCTCTCGACTCTGCTGCAGCCGCAAGTACCGCCGACTAGTACTGCTCTGCTGCTGCCCGTTGGTGTTTCCGGTCTCTGCGCTCCCGTGTGTGTGTGGGTGGTTGTTATGATGGAGCTTAAAGAGGCGGATGGATGTGTACAGTTAGTTGGTAGGGAGATGAGGAGGTTTTATGGGGGCTTCCAATATTGACTTAGCAGCGAGGAGCCAAGCAAAGTCAAGGTGGGTTCCCTTCCAGATGGCGCGCTCCCGGATACTTTTCAAATGTATTGTCTTCTGTTTTTCGTAAACTATTGTTCAAATTAGTGACTATAGCTTGATGGATATGGAAATAGTTTTGTTATTTTCAAAAAAGCTACGGGAGTATTTAGCCCAGTTCGCGGTAAACATAGTGACAAACGAATATCCAACGGTTAGGAATGTCCATCATGTGAAATCGCACGGCTAGGAACACTCAATTCGTGAGAGGGCGGATGCTGTTTTATACTATTCTTAACTAAGAAGACAATAATTTTTTTATTTAATTAGCGAAAAACGGACCGACTCGTCCACATTGACAGCATAGAGCACTTTGGCCAACCTGGCTACCGATGAGAATGTCCCGGCGTTACCGAGAAGAAAAACACCCGTCAAGAGTGCATACGAGTGTCGTCGTCTCACTCCAAATTCAATTTACCGTAGAGCACCATCAACAAACCGCTATTCGCGAACTACATGGATCTTGACGTCGACACATGACAATAGTCAAACACACACCAGCATGAGATGGCTCCGACTTTGATGGTGAGCTTCACAAGAGAAATATGCAAAGTCAGATGCAGATCGAGTTCTTCACAAATGACCACCAAAAGAAAAAAACGTGCATACATTTAATGGACATGGTTGGATGGCCACTTACGTATCCATGTCCCACAACGTGTCCGCGAACTGATAGCGAGCCCGACTTGAGAAACATTGTTGGAGATGCCCTAACCCCCTGATGTATCACATTTCGGCCGCATCACCCACTCACCCCTAAAAACCAGAATGTTAATCGCGCAAACTTCGTAATACCAGAGAAAACACCCTCTCTGTTGTTCTCTTTGTCTTGCACTCCGGCACGGCGACCTCAGAGGCTTCCCCTACCTCCTCGACTGCCCAAATCATATCCCCGCTGTAGTCGTTATTCTTCATCCCCGTCGGGGGCTCGAGGTCGACCTTGTCTGCACACAAAGTCTTTGCGCCTTCACAGAGCTCTGATGTGCCCCTACCCGTTCCTCACAGCGCACAACATCATCGACATGTGCCTTCACACATCGTTTTGCTTCCACCCTCCTTTTCCTCGGCGGCTGCAGACACAACACATGGTAGCATCGCAAGCTATGGTGGAGATGTACGACTCAACAACCAAAGGCCGGCCTCTAGAATCCTCGCCGGAAGAGGAAGCGTGATTGCCAGGGCCGTGCACCTGTGTTTCATTCTTTATTTGTAAAAAGCGAGCAAAAGCTTTTTTTCATGAAAGCGCGACCAGGTAACCCCTATGCCGACGTTGATGCCGAAGCTGGAGGCGGTGAGAAGGACTCGACGGGTGACGGGCGGTGATGCGTCTGCCTCCTCGCCAGCGAGGTGGTTGCCGTGCGCGAGAGGCAAGCGTGGGGGTCTTAGAGCAACTCCAACATTTTTCTTAGAAAGCATGATGTAAATTTTAGGAAAAACAATTCCTGAGAGCTACTTTTGTCATATCTTGTAGAGTAAACTTCTTCCTCTAATCCCAGCAAAAAAAAACTTCTTCCTCTAAAATATGTTTTTTATTTTATTTTTCTTTAACTAAAACTAGATAATGGCCTAGGGTCTGCCATTCAGTAACACGTGTGATGGCCTCCGATGAGACAGTGCGGTTGCGGCTGGCGACAAGCGGTGTGGTGATGCGGGGCAGTCGGGTGGTGGCTCCACAACACATCAGCATGATAGGCAGTGGCAGTGTAGCTGCATTATGATGGGGCCGACGACTCGTCAACGGCGTGGTGGTGTTCCGATGGGCAGTGGCTGTGCGATGAAGTTGCGGGAGGTTATTTTACCGCCAAAAGTTTACGGGAAGCAAAACTTTTCCTACACCAAGGGGAAGTTGTGGTCAAGTTGATAGGATCCTGTAAATTTATCCACGTTTTGGGATCCGTTGGAACTTTGTGTGTTGGAGTTGTCCTAGCGCGCTTGGACAACTCATTGGCGGCGACGGAGATCGGCGCACGGCCCTGGGTGAGGTGCACGGCGGCGACCTTGAGCCATCCTGAGCCCAGGTTCGGGTGCGAGACGAGGCTGAGAGCATACAAATCGGTGTTTCTACTGTGTGTTACCGAGTGCGTTTCCAGCCGGAACAGTCGATCGAATCGACCCGCGTACGTGCGCGTCTAGTCAGTACTCCAGGCCAGGCAACCAAAGCCAGGTCCAGATGTACACGGACAGCAACACCGGCCTGTGAAACATCTGGAACCACTCTTGTAGAAGTACGCGACGAGCCGGGCCACCGGCGCTCCTCCCGTGGACCGACACGGCAAAACCGGTGCGGCGTCGTCCGTCGACGCGGGCAGCCCCGCGAGTGAGAAAATTACATCTACAGTAACTGAGCTTGACTCTAGGGTTCACTTTGATCACTGTATTCATGAAATCGCAAGTTACGGTCACCGGGCTCGCTGAACCGGGTCACTATACGGTAACCCATACCGTTTCGGCTCGTATCACGTGCACGTGGACGAATTTGACAAAAAAAAACGCTTGGACTTGCCAGCTATACAGGACACGTCGAGGGTTTCTTCATCCTCTCCCCTCCCCTGTCGATTCCCACCTCGTTCCCCTCATCCGACTACTAAATCCCTAGCGCAATCTCTCATCCTCTCCCATGTCGCTTGGATCCAACAGTTGCATCCTCTGCTCCCATGTCCGACGTGTGTAGCTCATCGGGGGCCGGTGCGGGTTGGCTTCCTTTGATTCAATGCCCTGATTGCAAGATTCGCCAGATTAGGAGGTTTGAGTCCACCACTGAAAAGCATCCTGGGTGGATCTTGTACAAGTGTATGAATCATAAGGTTAGTACAAGAACATTGACTGGATGTTGTTCTTCATTTGATTTTTATATTTGTTTTTGATTTGATTTTGAGATTTGTTCTTGATTTTGTGAAATAGGTAGGGAAGAAACCTTGCAACTTTTGGCACTGGGAAGGTAGTTACATTGATTATTTGAAGGTAAATGGACATCTGAGAGGTGAATCTGTGGATAGTAAAGTAGTAGAGATGAAGAAAAAGAAAAACACGACATAAGTGGATCATGAAGATATGATGAAGATGTTGCTGCTGCTAAAATCACTTTCAGGAGATGTTACAGACTTGGTTGCTATAATGAAGATAGCAGTTGTACTGCTATTTGCAATTCTCTTTGTGTTAGTGTTAGTTCTAGTTAGGATGTGATTGTTGTCAATGTTGGCAATTTCTAAGTAAGAAGGAGACTTTTGTGTTGTTTGATGTCAGTGGTAATAGAAACCTTTGTGCCAATAATATTTGTGGAGACAACTTTGCTGTTGGAGATTAGAAAAGTGAAAAATGTTATTATATGGCATGAACTGATGAGACATTTCGCATTTGATAACATGCATTTGACTGTTGAACACTGACAAGAAGGAACAAGACTGAAATTTGAAAATTTGCAGTTGATAACACATAACAGTACTGAACTGAACATGCATTTTACTATTGAACAAATGAAGAACATGAATTTGATAACACCATTTCTTTAGCATAACAGAAACTGGTCATTCATAGCTCCTTGATAACACACATAAGTATTTCAAAAGCATACAGTACTAAAAGGTTCACAATTTAGCATGTCTTAACATTTAGAAATTGCAAAATACTTCATCCATTACATTAAATGGTCATTCAGGACCTGAATTCATCAAACATGTTAACTTTCTTGTGCTTATTTGTTGCAGCAGCTGCTTTTTTCTGCAGTGCAACAATTTTCTTTGCTTCTGCTTCTGCTTTCTTCTCTTCTGCAGCTCTCTTCTTTGCCTCCAGTAGTTCTTGTTTTTTAGCTGCTGTTGCAAGCTTCTTGGCCTCAAGTTCCTGCTCTCTCTTTTTTCTTGCCTCTGCTTTGAAAGCTTATTTTTCTTGAGCTTTTTGGCCTTTTCAGCTTGTTTCTTGGCAAGGGATTCACCTGCTTTTTGCAAAGCAGCAACTTCCCTTTGTGCTAGGATTTCAGCACACCTCTTTTCATGCAATATTTCATTGGCTTGCTGCTTGGCCTCCCTCGTCACTTCAACTCTAGCTGCAAGATTTCCTAATCTTGTTGCAGTGCTGCTGCCTACAGATGGCATTGCAGCTCTAGCTTCTTTGAGGAAAGAGCTTTCAGGCAATGGTCCTGGCACCTTTCTTTTCCTTGGTTTAGGAGCCTGTAACAGTAGTGAAACATGAGATGTATTTCATATCAAGATCATATTTTTAACAAGGTTCAATGGACATACCCCATTTCTCATGATTTCCATCATTGAATGTGGATGAAGAGCTCCAATTGGAGGCATGTCATGTTCCTGTGTGACAACAGGCTCCTCACTTGCCTGTGTCATTGATGGTCCAGGTGCTTGTTCTTGTGTTGTAGCCTACACATTTGCAACAAGGTAAAATGGATGTATCGAGCACTGAAATATTAGCCAGAAGCTAAAATGGATGCATCGAGTGTTGGAAATATGCCCTAGAGGCAATAATAAAAGTATTATTATTATATTTCCTTGTTCATGATAATTGTCTTTTATTCATGCTATAACTGTATTATCCGGAAATCGTAATACACGTGTGAATACATAGACCACAATATGTCCCTAGTGAGCCTCTAGTTGACTAGCTCGTTGTGATCAACAGATAGTCATGGTTTCCTGGCTATGGACATTGGATGTCGTTGATAACGGGATCACATCATTAGGAGAATGATGTGATGGACAAGACCCAATCCTAAGCCT